TGACCCGCGCGGTGGCCTGTGCTGGGCTCACTCGGGTGTGTCAGTGTTTCGCTCCTGCTGAGGAGCCCAAAGCTGGACACCACGCCTGCTGTGGGCTCGCAAGTGCTGGATAGAGGGGAAGCATCATGTCCCTGCACCTGCAGGCTGTGCTCCTGCTGATACGGGTCCCTCTTGTCCTTCACGCAAACCAAAACTAAATGCTTGGCGCTCTCCTAATGCGTGCGGCTTTGCCCGTAGTCCGGTCAAGTGGAGTCACTCTTTGTTTTCTGGTACAAATTCAAGGGCCAGAGTTCATATTTTGAACAGTTAAGGGTATGGTGGGAAGATGGGTCTAATTTTCCATTCTGGTGCTATCCTTAGAGGGGTTTTTTTGTTTGTTTTCTTTTACATTAACTAAAGAATTATGTAAATGAAATCTCCAAAGTTAGAAGGAAAAATGAAATCCTGAGTGGTTAATTTTTAATGTTCAGATAAACAATAGAAGTCAGCAAGATTGCAATAAATTGTCTCTGATTTTTTTGTTTGTTTTGATTTGTTTTATTTTCTAGGGCTTCAGCAATCAATGGTAAATTTTAGTTTTCCTTCTCATCTTTTTCATAATTTTAATTGGTCAAACACTGTGTATAATATAAATCTAATCCTAAGAAACTCTTTTTTCCCTGGTCTCACTGAAACATGGATGCATCAGTTTCTCTCCATTTCTGAGTATTTCAGCTGAGCATTATCGTAAGACCTCAGTCCTCATCCATGTATAACAAGATCTGTGTATGATGGACAGATCAACCATCCTGTGTTCTTGTGTGTGTATATGTGTAATAATTCACTTTTTCAACAGAAGAAGACTTCTGCTGTTTGTAATACAAGGTGTGTCACATCACTCATAGGAGAAATGGAAGGTCTCAAAAACCAGGAAATTGTAGAAGAGAGAGGCCTGGGGATTGGTTTTGTTCATATTACGGAAGTATCCTGGACAGAATACCAGTGAAAATACGGTCTTATTCCACCTTGCTAACTTTTTTTTTCTTCTTGTGCTGCTCCAGGTTTTTGTGTTGGTGTTGCTAATGTAGGCTCTCTCTCTTCAAGCTGGGATGAACGAGATTCAGGGTTTTGGTCACTATTTTTCAGTGGACCAGTCAGACTGACGGACCACCAGTGGCTGAAATATCACTGTGGATTTCAAAAACTTTGATGTTATTTTTAAGTAAATGGCAGTATAAAAAATTAATTCAAAGATTATTTTTCTTTAATCAACTTCCCAGCTGGCAAATTAATTATCCTCTGCACTGAAGTTCAGCATAGATAGTATCAGGCTCAGAGAGAGTATATGGAAACAAGATGTTTTAATAGAAACCTGCAGTTAACCTTGTATATCAGCACTTGACATCAGCAAAATCCGTGCTCAATTAAAAAACCCATTGTTTTCATCCAAACTCCTCAATCCCCTTCTCTTTATTTTCTTCTCTCTTTCTTTCTGTGGTATAGCTTATTGTTGTAAAGCCCACAGACAGAAACAGCACCCGTTTTTCCCACCCATTGTCTGCGCATTTGTGCACTGGATCTTTCTTCAGCCGTTTCTACCAAGAGCAGCAGCGAAAGCCTAGGTCAGATCGTGCGGTGGTACATGCTTTTTCAGGCTTAGCTACTGCTTGCCTATTCAAATAGCCAGAAGCCTGGCAGAGCAGAGCTGGCTTTATTTGTTGAGTCTTGTCTAGTGAAGTGAAAAGGGCTGATATTTTTTTCTTTTTTTTTCTGGCTGCATTTTTGCACATGTGGGGGTAGGGAATGAAATTATTTCTTTTGTCCTCTACTTGCAGCTCACTGAGAAGCAGGCATGCATATAAAATTACTGTATCTCAGGGCTTACCTTTAGGGACAGAAGGGAGAAAAAACAGATTTGTAAGCTTGTGTGGAAACACCGAGGATGTTGAGAGCGGACGCAAAAGTGGGAGGTAACAGAATAATAAACACAACAAATAGAAAACTAACAAAAACCTTTCAAATTTAATATAATTACAGTTTAATTTTGTCCCTTGAAAGAAATACCACATTACTGGATGTATCAAGGGGGAAAAAAAATTGTTGTGTTTGTGTGTCCAAGACACAAGAGCATCAAAACAAAGCAGCATAGCTTTGAAAAATCAGTGCAAAAACATATAACAAAGACCTGCTGGTTTTTTTCCCCTAGATATTAAATTATACCTGCAAACAAAGAGAAGTTATCTTGAGGGGTGAACTTCAGTGATGGGAGGTGAAGCACAATCCTGTTTCTCTCTCTGTTTAGTTTACACCCAAGTGGATCAATGAGTACTAAACTCCATTTCAGCTTTCAGTGAATTTTTGTGGGTTTTTTAAAGTACATATTTTTACCTAACTGTTCTGTACTCAGATGCTAAAGCTACAGTCTCCTTCAGTTCTCCAGCTTGTGTTACTGTCTGCGAACTTTGCTTTGAGTAGCATTAATGATTCATATGATTTGTAGTGGTTTTAACTACCTGTGAGTATAAGCATTACTGTAGCTTTTTTGAAATTCGAAGCATAGGGTTTGGGCTGGCTGGCCAGTAACCTGAATGTATCTTCAGGGTAAGCTGAAGGTTCTGGTCGTTAGTATGTTTAGGGTATTTTGGGTAGAGAATACAGTGAGGTAGGAAGGGAAGTTTTCAGCACCAGATGCTAAAAATCAGTTTGTTCGCAAAGCTAGTTTATATACTTTGAGTACTAAACAGATGGGATTAATTAATGGAGTTTCTGGGATATATAATATTATTGATACATACCAATATGTTCTCGATCCCTAAACTAATGGCTTGTTGAAGTTGCAAATGTTATATATTAGGCATGAATATGATCTAGTCAGTTTACTGAATGAACTTGAAAGCAAATACCAAGAGTTCACGAAGATTAAAAGAAGTCTAGTTTGGGAATCCATGGATTCTAAAATACATTGCTCATTATGGTTACGCTTCCAAGCTACACGTGCAAACTCAGAGCTGTGAAATGAGTAATTTACAGAAATTTTTAAATCTTTTATTTGACTTGCAACCTAGTAATCTATATTAAACTCTTAGAAAAAAAATCACAAGTTTTAATTTCAGTTAGAAGTGCTTTGAGGGTCTACAGACACACAGATGCCATTGTCCAAATTTCTGTTTGCATTTGAACAAAGCTGTTGGTGGTATTTTGTATATCCATAGTGTGTGTGGCTAGTTTCCTACAAAATTTATACAGGCAACAGAATTTAAATGTTATTTTGAAACTTTCAGCAAAGTGAGGAATCTGAACCATGACTTCCAAGATAGAAGTTTGAAGTTTTCTAACTTAACTGTAGTGCCTTTCGTACAGTTTTTCCCTCCAAAATCTGAGCTTAGCTGACCTAATTTAAAAAGGATTAAAAATGTTCATCCATTGTATAAACTGTTGCGAAGGGAAGAGTAGAGCTGGGGAGAAGCTATGAAAGCTGAAAGTTGTGAAAGACAATGAAAGCAGAACAGCATATTCTCGTAATGGGATAATTTTCACTCGACTGGAAGGCATGGGTGCGAAAGCTGCCAGCTGGAGATGGAGGCAATAGGCACAGGAATGTATATTTTGGTTAATAGTGTTTACTCCTAACAACTTAATGTTGAGTAGTATTTCGTCCTCAGCCTGAGAGTAAAGACTAGCTGCCTTTAAGGATGGCAAAATCTGCCTTTCAATGTATTTGGTTTGGGGATGAGGAACGGCAAGATGTGGCCACCTCCAGCCCAACATGAAAATGTGCATGCTGTATAAAACCTGTTATGGTTTATTGCCCTGTTCGTTAGTATACCGTTTCTCCATATTTTCACAATTTATCAATTCATGTATTGGTTCTTTTTTTTTAAACGTAATTGTCTTTTAGTCTTCATTTCTTGAGGTGGAGGAACAGGATAAACCCAAATAATTGAAACGGTGAAACAAAAGCTTACAGTTAGTTCTTTAAAAGTTACGCAATTTGTGTTTCCTGAATGCTTAGTTTAATGTTAATAATTCTCATAACTATAAATCTGTTGATTCTTAGTGCTTGAGTTCTATGAAGAATAAAAGATATTCAGTACAATACTAAATTAATCTCACAGAGCAAAAAGTCAGTCAGGAAAAGATAGGTGTTTCATTACATTCAGGTATGTCCTGTTCTATGATGGTAGTGGTGAGGTTCCTTGTTGTTTTCATAAGTCTTTGGGTATTATTTTATTCTAACAACTTTCTATACTGAAATACGTTAATAATTCTGGCTACCATATGTCTTAAAACAAATTTCATACTCCAATATACTTAAATGGTGTCCAAAAGTAAGTATTATACTGTTCATAAATACCCAATAATTGGCAATAATATCCTCAACTTCAAAAAGCATAATCTGGTACTGCGATATACTGTAAGAAGTGATGTTTTCAATGAATAGACATGTTAAGTGATTTCCAGAGATCTTTCACACACAATGTATCTTACATTACCTTTTGCTATTCAGAGTCTCTTCTGCTTTAAATTTCAGTAAAAGTTATCCTATTCACACAGAGAACGATTTGATCTAGAGTCACATGCATTGCTTTGCAGCTTGGGCGTATCAATCAAACGAGCTTTGGAGAAAGCTCTCTTCAGTTTCTAAAGTAAAAAAGAAAAAAAGTTTTGATTAAATACTTTTCTCCAAAAGTGGGTAAAATAAGTATTTTACATTCAGTTTTAAATTGCATATGCAGGAAAGCTGATTTCATAGTAAGCAAAAAAAAGGTAGTAACTTCTTCCTGTTTCAATATTTCAGAAATTTTATGCAGCTTTATACTGTTTGTGATAAGTGTACATCAGTTGAAAACAAAGTCTGTTTCTTGAATTGTTTCAGAAGTACCAAGAATGTTCATTACTCAGAAACAAAATTAATTAAAAATTATTCTCTTCACTGTTGCATTGTGTATGCCTTTTTGTGAACTTAATTAAAATACTCAAGTAATCTCAAATTTATTTGTTTTATTTTTTCTTACCTTCAGAACCAACATACATCACAATAGGTCCACCCACCTGTGAGATTCTGGTGAACTGCACTTTGACTGAAAAAGACTGTATATATAGTTTCAAACTGGACCAAAACGGTTGCCGCATTTGTCAGTGCAAAACTAGTGAGTATGCAAAAACACAGTGGCTTCTACCTTTTATATCAAGCTGTATATGAAAATGCTAGTACAGATTTTTTTTTTTCCATTCGTAATGTTGATTATACGTTGTGTTCATATGTGTGTGCTTTATAGTTACTCATCTTTAAAGGATAGGTTCCTGATTTCTGACACTGCTTGTTTGCTTGCTTAAAATGTGTTTGGAGAAAAACATAAAATGTCTGACCTCAGGTGAAAGTTAACAGCTAGGAAGAAAAGGTAATAATTTGTGACTTAATATTCACTCAGACTTTGAGAAGACTTCCACATTTCATTTCCCTCTGTATATAAAGAGTTTAAGAGCATCTAGGTTTGTGCACTTCAAAAACTCCTATTGCTAAACAACCTATTTTCAACTTAGCTTTTTCCCCTCAAAACTTAGATTTTGAGGATAAATGCTTGAAAATTGTATGCCTGCAGGGGATATTTGTATACAAACATATCCATCTAAATTTTATTTCTATAGCATATTCTTAGATTTATATTACATATATATATATGAAAAATACTTTAGTTAAGATTTATGCAGGCTTTAACATCTATTTCTTCCCCAAAGAAAATAGTTGTGCCTTGTGAGAACTTTTTGTGTATCAGTGAAGCAGCAAAAATGTACTTTCTGTATGTGTTTCCTTAAGAATTCAATGTTTACAGATGAAATATAAAGCAAGGCCAGGTTGGTTGTTGGAATTGCCCAACAAAGGACACCTGTAGTGTACTAGTCTCAGCTGCAGGACGTATTGCTCTGTCTGCCGACCCAGCCTAGGAGTGAGTTTAAACTCTCTTTGTAACTCTATTGCAGTTCTGCAGCTTCCTTGTAGCCTCTGAGGCTTTCACAACTAAAGTATTACTCCGTTCCTCTTCTTTTGATTTCAGTCCGCCCCTTCTCAGCCACTTTCTAAACCAATATGACTGTTTTAGGGGTCCCCAGTGGAAATGGTAAAAATAAAACTCTTAATTGGTACAAAGTAAAGAATTTTGGGATTGGATTGGTGTCTTGTTTAAGGAGCAAAGAAAAGGGTTTGTCCTGGATCTTTCAACTTTTTCTGGGGCAATATGCATTTTTTTTTTAATTTCCGTAAGGTGAAGGACGAGACATCTTAATAACAAGGAAATACATGGCAAGCAATAATGTCATCGTGGTAATATATAAATAATACCTTTGATTACAAGTTGTATTCATGGCAAGGACAACTTTCTGTAGATTGCATCCAAGCTATCACACACATGCCTTACTTAGTCCTTCCGAAGGACAAAATCAGAAATACTAAGTTCTGCTTTGAACAGTGTAATTTGATTTTTCCTTCTTTTTCTATTGTTGTTAAATTGACTGGGGATTTTGACACAAACAAGAAGATGGACATACTCGGCAAATTTCATCATCTCTGCCTGTGCTTGAAGTCCTTCCCTCCAGTTTGGTGCACAGGAGACCCATCACTCCAAAGGATCATTTCTTTTGTCCTAGAGTACCAGATTGCATGCGTTCACATACCACATCACAGGAAGTATCTGTTCTTGCTTGGAGTGTTTCTGATTAAATAGTGCTTAAGAACCTATTCAAGGCAATTTTTTTCTTGCCAGATTTGCTTGAGATTACTTTCATTTTGCAGTAGCAAATTGCCTAGAGCAAACTTAATAGTCTCATTTGTCTGTCATCTTTTTTTCAGTTAAATAACTTGAATTGTAGGTTGCTCAAAAATCTTCCCAGTCATTCAGAGACAGGAAACCTTTATTTTCTAAAGAAGTGAAGAAAAATAACAGCTTGGAAGTCTTCATGACTTGGTGGTTATCAGTCAAAATGACAGAAATAGAATTTTTCTGTCAAGTAATGTCTCTCGCGTGCAAGGCTCTGGACAGATGAGTGTGTGAGCACTGAGAAGAAAGGAGTTTTATGTCAAATATGCTGAAAACGTACTTGGCTAGTTCTCTGCGTTTTGAGATGCCACATATTTTCACGTCCAAACCAGTTTAAGTTGCATCTTGGCTCTCTAAGAACATGAGAATGTGTATTATCTTCAGCTCAGGTAGACTCCTGTGTACTTTTGGGAACATCTCTGTCTTTATACTGCACCCACTTGTTTCTTGCTGGTCTAAGCTGCTCGACTGAGTCAGACTTAAAGTGCCTGAGTAAAGGAGGCCCGCACGCCCCCATTACCATTTGAAGTCGTCATATCCCAATTCTACTACTCTCTTTCCAATAAAGTTTCCTTTTATGCCAGTTTTCTTTTTAGCGATCTCTGCTGAAGATTCGTTATACTTCAGTCTATTTCAACCAAAATAAAAGCAAAATGACAAAATGGAAGAACGTTGAGTAAAGCTGTAAATCGTTCCTCATTATTTACTTTAATTTACATTCCTGTAGCCAGAAGTCAGTACAACAGGTTTATATAAAATAATTATCTCAGTACGATATCATGAAACTTGTTTGGTGCTTTATTGTAATATAGTTTCAAGTTTATCCAGGTTGACTAAGGCCAACTACAGAATGAGAAGGAAGAAAGAAGCAAATCATAACATCTCTAGAATACGATTTTAATAGAAGCGGTTTACTTTGTCCTTTATCCTTCTTCACATTTTTGCAGGGAATACAAAAACATGCTGTAACAACATGCAGTGAAATCATGCATGCTGTAAACTAAAGTAAAATAAATTTTAAAAAAGCAGACCACAGTTGTAACAGAAGGGAGGAAGAAACTACCACTGAGCAAAGAGTGAGCACAGATAAATATGGGGGGGAAGTTCCAGTGAGTAGAGATGGAACCACAAATCATGAGGGAGAAGGAATGATCATACTGACTGGGAGCGTATGGAAGCCAAAGCAGCACTACATGAGGCTAAAAAGAGACAAGTGTAATCCAGGATATAAGACGAACCACTACAAAATATCAAGAATAAAACTAGAACAGTAGGAAAAACATGAAATGCATTACCAAAAAAAAAAAAAAAAAAAGTAGTAAATAACAAGAAAATTGTTACTTGCAGGATGCAGCAATCGCTATTGAGTTTGGAGTCTCTAGGCCTTTGCTTTCATAGGGAGCACTTGGAGCGGATCAGAGTCTTTAGGAGGAGGAGTACATTAGGGGAATGAAACAAGACCAGCGATCGCCGCTCTGTGAGGCAAGGCTCCTATTGCTCTAAAGAGGACTAATGGGCACATTGAGTAATGCCTGCTGATTGCACTAACGTAGGATTTAAAATCTGATAGTTGCTTCTGGACACTGAAGCATTCCTCAGTGAGAGTCTGCAGTGAGGGCCAGTGTTTCATCTGGCCTTGTCTGTTCCTTGTTTTATATTCATGAAAAAGAAAAAGCCCTTGAGATCTCCCCTGCAACTTAGACCATAGCGTTTTACCCCAAATGAATTGAATGTGAAGTACTGTTCAGGGGTATACCTGTGAGCATGTATGACTTCAGTATTTTTTTTTAACCTTTCAAATCTTACTAATATTGAATTAAATTAAAGCATTGCTGTCAATTTTAAAAATGGTTTGCTTCATTTAGAAGGCTTACCTTTGCAGTTTCAAGATGCAATTATCATGTAATTCCATTAATTCCGGACTGCTTATGGAGACATGCAATTGTAGAAGGCTGAGACAAGTCATTTTCCTTGCACGTCGTAGTGCGCCATTGTCCACTTCCACCACATGTCGTCGTCTCTTTTGTCTGTCAAAGCAAACTATGAAATCACTATTCAAAAATGAGAAATGTTGGTATATTATGTGTTTGCACAGTTCTCTAGACATAGAGCCTTTCACACAAACACAGCCTATATAGATACAGAAATATTTTTGGAAGAGTGTTGATACCTCTTCCTTAAATGAGAAGAAAATGTGTTCTACCAGGGAGTTAAAAAGGAGGTACTATCATTCACTCTATACTGGCAGACACCTGCAGCATGGACTTCAATATTCTGGCGAGTCACACCCTCTCCCTTTATAGCTCATGAAGCGAATGGAATTCCAAGGTGGAATTCGGGGTTGGCAGTGTGGGACTTGGTTTAGTGGTGTAGCCATTCAAAGGCAGGATTTGAAGATTTGAGAAAAGTTAGGTAGGAGCATCTATGGACTGTCTATAAATAGCAGTGGTTAATGCTCTGAAAATGTGTGTGGAGGGATGATGGGAAAAGCCCAAGAAAAACTTTGCAGGGATTACAAAGGGAGAATACATCTCAACTCCTCTTTTCTGTGTGTTAATCATTTAGTAGTTAGAGTTTGGGGTGGGTTTTCCTAATATTGCACTTTTCCTAGACAAAATTTGAATATTTCATTCCTTTATTTCTGTAAGTAATCAATATTCACGGATGAGTTCTGAACACTTCAGAACTCCCTTAGTTTTAATTTTGTCCATTTTGAATTAACATATTTTATGTTTATTTTAATATCAAACTAAAGTGGGACAAATAATCACACGCACGCTAATCACGCAAAATGTACACTTCAGACAATGCAGAATTCCTGGAAATAGTAAAGTAAAATAAATTATGTAACACTTTTGTGTTTTAGTAACAATTATCTCCCATTGTTACCTTGATTTAGCAATAAATTCCACAGAAAAAAAATTAGAAAACCAAAGACAGTCCAAGTAGTCTCCCTTAGTCCAAGGAGAGCCGTCTTGGAGTTTTGAATAATTTTGTAGGCATGGCAGAAACAGGATGTTTTATTATCCTTCTGCAGTGACGTGAAAGGGAATAGCTATTATATATTACACCTTAGCTAATGAAATACAGCCATGGAAAATTGGGGATGAATCATGTTTCTTAAAATTTTAAGGCTTAGATCAGAAAAAAGTACATATTCTAAGTAGAATAGAAATACTAACTCTAAGTACACATGTGGAAGATAGTGGAAGTGCTCCCTGAAGAGAATGGAATTATGATGAACTAACTACTCATGCCAAATAAATATTATCTGTCTTTTCACTAGAAGAAAAGTCTTTGGCGGGTATCTCTGAAGATTACAACAATATATTGGT